AGCCTCTGGACACACACACACACACACACACACACACACACACACACACATCAGGTTATACACTCTGTCTGCAGCCTCTGGACACACACACACACACACACACACACACACACACACACATCAGGTTATACACTCTGTCTGCAGCCTCTGGACACACACACACACACGCTTTGTGAGTTCCAGGCAACTTCTGCTAATCTTTCAGCGCCCGTGCCGTCACAAAGCGCCACTGAGCACAACCGTTCATTTGAATACGTCGCCATCTTGGATCGCCGGGGCTTGGGGAAAACGGACACACAGGAGCTTTTTGTGGCTTAGTGAAGAAGATGACATAGTCTGGGATCGCGTCTTTAAATTCAGACAGAAGACATGTTTTATTGTCGATGGTAGAGACAGCACGAACAACAGATACAATAGAATGCAAGTGTATTATACAGAGCGGAGGCATGGAGACCTCCAATCAGCAGCTGCCACAGTGCCATGTAGCTTGGCCTTCAGATAGACACAACAAGGGAAAAGTACTGGCTTCTGCACATTGATAGAATGATGAGTTTAACTTTAACAAAAGTTGCTTCAAAGTGTTATGAAATCTCACATTAGTATCACTCTTATTTTGAGTGAAAACTATTTTAATGCAGCGCACGCCTTGTAGAGTTTGACTGAGACCATTTTTTCAACAATGAGGAGGATTAAAGCTGTTACAGTGACGACAGTGGAGTCACTCTGGGATCGACAGAACCACGTCTGAGACGATAGCTCTCATCAATAATACAATAAATATGGCACAAACGTTACTTTTAACATTTGAGGCGAGAAAAATGACCCTTTGTCATTTTGGTGATTTGTTGAGCTGTAAACGACATAAAGTTTGGACTTATTCTCCGGGGGGAGCTCCGTAGCGTTAAGCTAACAGCGTTACGCTAACGGCGTTAAGCTAACAGCGTTACGCTAACAGCGTTAAGCTAACAGCGTTACGCTAACAGCGTTCAGCTAACAGCGTTACGCTAACAGCGTTACGCTAACAGCGTTCAGCTAACAGCGGGGGCTGCAGTAAACCCAGCCGTCCGGGGAGCACAGAGATCGGATAAAACTTCAGCCTCAGACCCTGGTCCTCACAGCCTCAGACCCTGGTCCTCACAGTCTCAGACCCTGGTCCTCACAGTCTCAGACCCTGGTCCTCACAGTCTCAGACCCTGGTCCTCACAGTCTCAGACCCTGGTCCTCACAGTCTCAGACCCTGGTCCTCACAGTCCCAGACCCTGGTCCTCACAGTCTCAGACCCTGGTCCTCACAGCCCCAGACCCTGGTCCTCACAGTCCCAGACCCTGGTCCTCACAGTCCCAGACCCTGGTCCTCACAGCCTCAGACCCTGGTCCTCACAGTCCCAGACCCTGGTCCTCACAGTCTCAGACCCTGGTCCTCACAGTCCCAGACCCTGGTCCTCACAGTCCCAGACCCTGGTCCTCACAGTCTCAGACCCTGGTCCTCACAGTCTCAGACCCTGGTCCTCACAGTCTCAGACCCTGGTCCTCACAGTCTCAGACCCTGGTCCTCACAGTCCCAGACCCTGGTCCTCACAGTCCCAGACCCTGGTCCTCACAGGACTCTGTTGCCTCAGTTGCTACAACTGTGTACAACACAAAAATACTGCATTGTATCAATGAAAGTCAGCTGTGTCTGTGGCCGCGGATGCTACGAAGGCTAATGCTAATGCTAGGCTAATTCTAATGCTAACGCATTTATTCCTTTCCTTATTAGGCATTTTCCTAAAAATCGACACCAGTTAGTGAAATAAATGTTGCACACGCCACAGAAAAGGAGCATTTTACATTGTTCTTAAAGGGGAAGTTTACTTCCTGTCCCTCGGAGCACTCTCGCGCTGCTGCGTGACGTCAGGTGCAACCCGGCAGTAGAATGTATTTGTTGTTTTTATCCTGGTTCTATTGGAACATTTTCACATACAGGCAGATTTTGGCAGATTTTGGCAGATTTTGGCAGATTTTGGCCTCTGTTACATCTGTAGATCTGCTTTTTCAGACAGGAAATTGGAACAGCGGGTCATCCTCACTAAGACAATCATCTTTTTGCCCAAAGTGTAGAATGGTGACTCACAGGGCTCTGACGAGTATGAAAAGGCAACAGATGTTTTATAATACGATAAAGAAAGCATGTCGTGGTCTGGTCAGTTCAACTTTTGATTTTTACAGGACTTGTAATGGTCAAACACAAGTATTATCTATGAACAACCATTCCTCACGTAATACTTACTTGGTACAGATAAAAAATGCATATTAATTCAGATTGATCCAAAATAATGATGGATTATGTATACATGCTCCTGCTACACTACTTCTGTTTGAAATGTCACACAATAACATAAATGATAGCACTCAAAGTCACCGTGGAGACTTCAGCTCTGTGGTCAGTCCTCTGTGGTCAGTCCTCTGTGGTCAGTCCTCTGTGGTCAGTCCTCTGCGGTCAGTCCTCTGTGGTCAGTCCTCTGTGGTCAGTCCTCTGCGGTCAGTCCTCTGTGGTCAGTCCTCTGCGGTCAGTCCTCTGTGGTCAGTCCTCTGCGGTCAGTCCTCTGTGGTCAGTCCTCTGCGGTCAGTCCTCTGTGGTCAGTCCTCTGCGGTCAGTCCTCTGTGGTCAGTCCTCTGTGGTCAGTCCTCTGCGGTCAGTCCTCTGTGGTCAGTCCTCTGTGGTCAGTCCTCTGTGGTCAGTCCTCTGCGGTCAGTCCTCTGCGGTCAGTCCTCTGCGGTCAGTCCTCTGTGATCAGTCCTCTGTGGTCAGTCCTCTGTGGTCAGTCCTCTGCGGTCAGTCCTCTGCGGTCAGTCCTCTGCGGTCAGTCCTCTGTGATCAGTCCTCTGTGGTCAGTCCTCTGTGGTCAGTCCTCTGTGGTCAGTCCTCTGTGGTCAGTCCTCTGCGGTCAGTCCTCTGCGGTCAGTCCTCTGTGATCAGTCCTCTGTGGTCAGTCCTCTGCGGTCAGTCCTCTGTGGTCAGTCCTCTGTGGTCTGTCCTCTGTGGTCAGTCCTCTGTGGTCAGTCCTCTGCGGTCAGTCCTCTGCGGTCAGTCCTCTGTGATCAGTCCTCTGTGGTCAGTCCTCTGTGGTCAGTCCTCTGCGGTCAGTCCTCTGTGGTCAGTCCTCTGCGGTCAGTCCTCTGTGGTCAGTCCTCTGTGGTCAGTCCTCTGTGGTCAGTCCTCTGCGGTCAGTCCTCTGTGGTCAGTCCTCTGTGGTCAGTCCTCTGTGGTCAGTCCTCTGCGGTCAGTCCTCTGCGGTCAGTCCTCTGCGGTCAGTCCTCTGTGATCAGTCCTCTGTGGTCAGTCCTCTGTGGTCAGTCCTCTGTGGTCAGTCCTCTGTGGTCAGTCCTCTGCGGTCAGTCCTCTGTGGTCAGTCCTCTGTGGTCAGTCCTCTGTGGTCAGTCCTCTGCGGTCAGTCCTCTGCGGTCAGTCCTCTGCGGTCAGTCCTCTGTGGTCAGTCCTCTGTGGTCAGTCCTCTGTGGTCAGTCCTCTGTGGTCAGTCCTCTGCGGTCAGTCCTCTGCGGTCAGTCCTCTGCGGTCAGTCCTCTGTGATCAGTCCTCTGTGGTCAGTCCTCTGTGGTCAGTCCTCTGTGGTCAGTCCTCTGCGGTCAGTCCTCTGCGGTCAGTCCTCTGCGGTCAGTCCTCTGTGATCAGTCCTCTGTGGTCAGTCCTCTGTGGTCAGTCCTCTGTGGTCAGTCCTCTGTGGTCAGTCCTCTGCGGTCAGTCCTCTGCGGTCAGTCCTCTGTGGTCAGTCCTCTGTGGTCAGTCCTCTGCGGTCAGTCCTCTGCGGTCAGTCCTCTGCGGTCAGTCCTCTGTGATCAGTCCTCTGTGGTCAGTCCTCTGTGGTCAGTCCTCTGTGGTCAGTCCTCTGTGGTCAGTCCTCTGCGGTCAGTCCTCTGCGGTCAGTCCTCTGTGATCAGTCCTCTGTGGTCAGTCCTCTGCGGTCAGTCCTCTGTGGTCAGTCCTCTGTGGTCTGTCCTCTGTGGTCAGTCCTCTGTGGTCAGTCCTCTGCGGTCAGTCCTCTGCGGTCAGTCCTCTGTGATCAGTCCTCTGTGGTCAGTCCTCTGTGGTCAGTCCTCTGTGGTCAGTCCTCTGTGGTCAGTCCTCTGTGGTCAGTCCTCTGTGGTCAGTCCTCTGTGGTCAGTCCTCTGCGGTCAGTCCTCTGTGGTCAGTCCTCTGTGGTCAGTCCTCTGTGGTCAGTCCTCTGTGGTCAGTCCTCTGTGGTCAGTCCTCTGTGGTCAGTCCTCTGCGGTCAGTCCTCTGTGGTCAGTCCTCTGTGGTCAGTCCTCTGTGGTCAGTCCTCTGCGGTCAGTCCTCTGTGGTCAGTCCTCTGTGGTCAGTCCTCTGTGGTCAGTCCTCTGCGTTCACGCTGAGATCCAAACAGACAACAAAGATGGACGTGTGTGACGCAGGTGTTTTGTGGCGCTGGACTAAAAGTGGGAGCATTCAGAGATGTCACAAAGTCATTCTGTGCCACTGCAGAAAATACTTCAGGTAAGAACTTACACCAACCCAACACCTGCCACGAGTCACGGAAGAATCACATTTTTACATTCAATCTTTGAAGACATAAAGACAGTTCCACGTGTGCTACAGAAGAACCCATATATTCAGGATCACACACGTCGAGGCGGACGGTCGACCATCCCATCCGTGGTCAGTCGAAAGGTCACCTTAAAGAAGCTATACCCAATTTTTTTTCTGGGTAGTTCATAAAAATGCTTTTTACTACATACAAGTTGTATTATAATCCGTAATTTAATTGAAAACTTGAGGTCATTGATTCAGCTGTGTATGAAATTACAAGCAGTGAAAAGTGCTGAGTAGAGTCTGAGCGGGACGTTCTCCTCCAATCACAGAATGAGCAGCGAGCAGCCTGCGTCCTCTAGTCCCTACAGCGCTGCTTAACACCTTCAACCTGAATTACAAACAGAGATTGCGTTGCCAAAGGGCAGCGGTCATTATTGATTTGAGAGTTCTGTTATCAAGAAAAAATGATCGGTAGAATTACGTTGAAGTCAATGGAGTGTTCTACTGCTGCTGTGAGGAGCTGTATAATAAATTATAATTAAATACTTGAATATATTCTAATGTTTTAATGAATACATTTGGACGCAAAACTAGCAGTATTCTTTTACCTATATATTGTGTTAGCAGTGCGTTGCTTTTGTACCATTTCATCAGTGATTGTTGTACAGCTTACAAGAAGTTGCGCTAATGCTAATGTTAGCATGCTAATGTTAGCATACATGTCAGATCGCAAATTGAGCTAGATGGCTCTGTGTTATGAGAGCGTGGGGGAAATGAGAAGCCTGTGAGCGAGTTGGGGGCGGGGCTAAACATTGCAGAAACGGGTACAGCGCCTTTAAAAGAGGGAATGGTAAAAAGCTCTCAGAACTATGTGTTATGTATCGGGTATAAACTGTAGTCAGAAGATTTTGTTAATGAAATGATGTATTGATAAACGTGTGAATGGGAAGTTGGACACACATACGCTCGAGGTCAAGAGTGAGACCATCGTGCGCTGGACCAACCACAACCGACAAAACTACTTCTGTCCTGTCTGCTGGAGAAGGTGAGTCAATAAATGACTTCATCTGAGTTTGAAACCTAATTAAACAGAGTATGCAAGACATGTGGAACTATCATCAAAGACACGTGGAACTATCATCAAAGACATGTGGAACTATCATCAAAGACATGTGGAACTATCATCAAAGACATGTGGAACTATCATCAAAGACATGTGGAACTATCATCAAAGACATGTGGAACTATCATCAAAGACATGTGGAACTATCATCAAAGACATGTGGAACTATCATCAAAGACATGTGGAACTATCATCAAAGACATGTGGAACTATCATCAAAGACATGTGGAACTATCATCAAAGACATGTGGAACTATCATCAAAGACATGTGGAACTATCATCAAAGACATGTGGAACTATCATCAAAGACATGTGGAACTATCATCAAAGACATGTGGAACTATCATCAAAGACATGTGGAACTATCATCAAAGACATGTGGAACTATCATCAAAGACATGTGGAACTATCATCAAAGACATGTGGAACTATCATCAAAGACATGTGGAACTATCATCAAAGACATGTGGAACTATCATCAAAGACATGTGGAACTATCATCAAAGACATGTGGAACTATCATCAAAGACATGTGGAACTATCATCAAAGACATGTGGAACTATCATCAAAGACATGTGGAACTATCATCAAAGACATGTGGAACTATCATCAAAGACATGTGGAACTATCATCAAAGACATGTGGAACTATCATCAAAGACATGTGGAACTATCATCAAAGACATGTGGAACTATCATCAAAGACATGTGGAACTATCATCAAAGACATATGGAACTATCATCAAAGACATGTGGAACTATCATCAAAGACATGTGGAACTATTTGCAGAAGTGCCGTCATCAAAGTGGATCTGAGGATTTGTTTGGAAGATTTCCAGATCCCAGTTCAATTAATCAATAAAAAAAAGACACCAGATTTAAAATGTGTGCGAGCGGGTGGTGTGTGACTCAGGACTGACACACTCTGACGTAAGTTGTACTTGTGTGTGTTTCTGACGTAAGTTGTACTTGTGTGTTTCTGACGTAAGTTGTACTTGTGTGTGTTTCTGACGTAAGTTGTACTTGTGTGTGTTTCTGACGTAAGTTGTACTTGTGTGTTTCTGACGTAAGTTGTACTTGTGTGTGTTTCTGACGTAAGTTGTACTTGTGTGTGTTTCTGACGTAAGTTGTACTTGTGTGTGTTTCTGACGTAAGTTGTACTTGTGTGTGTTTCTGACGTAAGTTGTACTTGTGTGTGTTTCTGACGTAAGTTGTACTTGTGTGTTTCTGACGTAAGTTGTACTTGTGTGTGTTTCTGACGTAAGTTGTACTTGTGTGTGTTTCTGACGTAAGCTGTACTTGTGTGTGTTTCTGACGTAAGTTGTACTTGTGTGTGTTTCTGACGTAAGCTGTACTTGTGTGTGTTTCTGACGTAAGCTGTACTTGTGTGTGTTTCTGACGTAAGCTGTACTTGTGTGTGTTTCTGACGTAAGCTGTACTTGTGTGTGTTTCTGACGTAAGTTGTACTTGTGTGTGTTTCTGACGTAAGTTGTACTTGTGTGTGTTTCTGACGTAAGTTGTACTTGTGTGTGTTTCTGACGTAAGTTGTACTTGTGTGTGTTTCTGACGTAAGCTGTACTTGTGTGTGTTTCTGACGTAAGTTGTACTTGTGTGTGTTTCTGACGTAAGTTGTACTTGTGTGTGTTTCTGACGTAAGTTGTACTTGTGTGTGTTTCTGACGTAAGTTGTACTTGTGTGTGTTTCTGACGTAAGTTGTACTTGTGTGTGTTTCTGACGTAAGTTGTACTTGTGTGTGTTTCTGACGTAAGCTGTACTTGTGTGTGTTTCTGACGTAAGTTGTACTTGTGTGTGTTTCTGACGTAAGTTGTACTTGTGTGTGTTTCTGACGTAAGTTGTACTTGTGTGTGTTTCTGACGTAAGTTGTACTTGTGTGTTTCTGACGTAAGTTGTACTTGTGTGTTTCTGACGTAAGCTGTACTTGTGTGTGTTTCTGACGTAAGTTGTACTTGTGTGTGTTTCTGACGTAAGTTGTACTTGTGTGTGTTTCTGACGTAAGTTGTACTTGTGTGTGTTTCTGACGTAAGTTGTACTTGTGTGTGTTTCTGACGTAAGTTGTACTTGTGTGTGTTTCTGACGTAAGTTGTACTTGTGTGTTTCTGACGTAAGTTGTACTTGTGTGTGTTTCTGACGTAAGTTGTACTTGTGTGTTTCTGACGTAAGTTGTACTTGTGTGTGTTTCTGACGTAAGTTGTACTTGTGTGTTTCTGACGTAAGTTGTACTTGTGTGTGTTTCTGACGTAAGTTGTACTTGTGTGTGTTTCTGACGTAAGTTGTACTTGTGTGTGTTTCTGACGTAAGTTGTACTTGTGTGTGTTTCTGACGTAAGTTGTACTTGTGTGTGTTTCTGACGTAAGTTGTACTTGTGTGTGTTTCTGACGTAAGTTGTACTTGTGTGTGTTTCTGACGTAAGTTGTACTTGTGTGTGTTTCTGACGTAAGTTGTACTTGTGTGTGTTTCTGACGTAAGTTGTACTTGTGTGTGTTTCTGACGTAAGCTGTACTTGTGTGTGTTTCTGACGTAAGTTGTACTTGTGTGTGTTTCTGACGTAAGTTGTACTTGTGTGTGTTTCACACACAGCTTACGTGTTTCTGACGTAAGCTGTACTTGTGTGTGTTTCTGACGTAAGTTGTACTTGTGTGTGTTTCTGACGTAAGTTGTACTTGTGTGTGTTTCTGACGTAAGTTGTACTTGTGTGTGTTTCTGACGTAAGTTGTACTTGTGTGTGTTTCTGACGTAAGTTGTACTTGTGTGTGTTTCACACACAGCTTACGTGTTTCTGACGTAAGCTCTACTTGTGTGTGTTTCTGACGTAAGTTGTACTTGTGTGTGTTTCTGACGTAAGTTGTACTTGTGTGTGTTTCTGACGTAAGTTGTACTTGTGTGTGTTTCTGACGTAAGTTGTACTTGTGTGTGTTTCTGACGTAAGTTGTACTTGTGTGTGTTTCTGACGTAAGTTGTACTTGTGTGTGTTTCTGACGTAAGTTGTACTTGTGTGTGTTTCTGACGTAAGTTGTACTTGTGTGTGTTTCTGACGTAAGTTGTACTTGTGTGTTTCTGACGTAAGTTGTACTTGTGTGTGTTTCTGACGTAAGTTGTACTTGTGTGTGTTTCTGACGTAAGTTGTACTTGTGTGTGTTTTTGACGTAAGTTGTACTTGTGTGTGTTTCTGACGTAAGTTGTACTTGTGTGTGTTTCTGACGTAAGTTGTACTTGTGTGTGTTTTTGACGTAAGTTGTACTTGTGTGTGTTTCTGACGTAAGTTGTACTTGTGTGTGTTTCTGACGTAAGTTGTACTTGTGTGTTTCTGACGTAAGTTGTACTTGTGTGTGTTTCTGACGTAAGTTGTACTTGTGTGTGTTTCTGACGTAAGTTGTACTTGTGTGTGTTTCTGACGTAAGTTGTACTTGTGTGTTTCTGACGTAAGTTGTACTTGTGTGTGTTTCTGACGTAAGTTGTACTTGTGTGTGTTTCAGGTCTGTTTCTCTGAAATCTCAAACAGGTGAAAAACATTGTCTTGAGCGGCCTCAGCACCTCGCCTCAGCACCTCGCCTCAGCACCTCGCCTCAACACCTCGCCTCAGCACCTCGCCTCAGCACCTCGCCTCAACACCTCGCGTCAGCACCTCGCCCTCAGCACCTCGCCTCAACACCTCGCCTCAGCAGCATCTCGCCTCAACACCTCGCCTCAGCAGCACCTCGCCTCAACACCCTCGCCTCAACACCTCGCCTCAGCACCTCGCCTCAACACCTCGCCTCAGCACCTCGCCTCAACACCTCGCCTCAACACCTCGCCTCAACACCTCGCCTCAGCACCTCGCCTCAACACCTCGCCTCAGCACCAGGCCTCAGCACCTCGCCTCAACACCTCGCCTCAGCACCTCGCCTCAGCACCTCGCCTCAACACCTCGCCTCAGCACCTCGCCTCAGCACCTCGCCTCAGCACCTCGCCTCAACACCTCGCCTCAGCACCTCGCCTCAACACCTCGCCTCAACACCTCGCCTCAGCACCTCGCCTCAACACCTCGCCTCAGCACCTCGCCTCAGCACCTCGCCTCAACACCTCGCCTCACCACTTCGCCTCAGCACCTCGCCTCAACACCTCGCCTCAGCACCTCGCCTCAGCACCTCGCCTCTCCCCAGAGCCTGCTGCAGATCGGCGGCTGGAGCGGCAGCAGTCCCACCAACATCCTCGAGGCGTTTGACTGGAGACTAATCACCGGTGAACGTGACCAACCATCAGGAGGGCCCTCGTGCTTACCACGGCGCTGTGTTCCTCGACGGCTCGGTGTACTTTGTGGGGGGTTTTAACCGCCGCCGTCCCTGGCTACGCAGGCTAATGCTAATGCTAATGCTAACGCTTTTATTCCTTTCCTTGTTAGACATTTTCCTAAAAATCGACACCAGTTAGAGAAATACATTTTAGCAAAATAGAGACTCCATAAGTTCCCCACTTGATATGAGCAGTTTCCACAGCTGCACACGCCACAGAATGAGAGCATTTTTACATTGTTCTTAAAGGGGAAGTTTACTTCCTGTTCCTCAGAGCACTCTCGCGCTGCTGCGTGACGTCAGGTGCAACCATGGATCTATTATATTAACTGGATAGGGTGTTACAGCTTGTAGCTGAATAACTCATGTGTTCGGGGGATTCTCGCGGTACTGCAGACTGAACCAGACTGAACCAGACTGAACCAGACTGAATTCAGGTGGACTACCCAGAAATGTTCCCCATGGAACTCAATGCATATTAAAACAGCTAGACCTCAGCTGACAGAGAACCTGACAGAGAACCTGACAGAGAACCTGACAGAGAACCTGACAGAGAACCTGACAGAGAACCTACAGCTTTAATAAAGATAGTATTTTGTGGGGGTTTTAGTGTCCCTTGTCATCCTGAACTTTTTTTCTTCTTAAATCCTTCGGTTTTGTGTAAATCCACACTTTAGTGCCACAAACTCTGCTCCTCTGGCTCTCGCTCTAACTCCCGCTCTGATGAACTGCTCTGATTGGTCAGAGCGCGGCCGAGCCCCTCTGTGCACGTGCGTGAGACCCTCTGTGCACGTGCGTGAGACCCGGTGTGAGACCCACACACGCGTGTTTGGCGCAAAGCATCATGGGAGATCATCCACTGCACAGAACCGGGAGGACCAGACGATGCCCAAATACAGGAGAGTTTCCCATAGATCTGTGCGAGTTCCAGACGACTTCCGCTAATCTTTCAGCCCCCATGCCGTCACAAAGCGCCACTGAGCACAACCATTCATTTGAATAGGGCGCCATCTTGAATCGCCGGGGCTTGGGTGCAACCCAGCAATACTAGCTTCTTTATTATGCTAAAGCTAGATATCATTTGTGACGTGAGGTGGAATCAAATGTGAAAATCCGTGTTGTGCAGGTTCCAAATAAATCTCTAAATGAGGATTGTGTTTTTAGGCAGAACGTCTGAGCCACATCTGAGTGAGCGCTGGTCCTGGCAGCTGCGGCTACAGGACTCACCATCAACCTGTCTGAAAACATTATTATTGATTGACTGCGGAACCTTCCGCAGTCAACCATTGGTTTTGTATTTCTTTATTCCGTCATTTTTTTTGACACGTTTCACAGCTTTCACATTTTCAACAATTTCCACAAGTTATACATCAAAACGTTCCACATGTTTGGGAGATTATTGCTATTACTTTTGGGACTTCAGCGATTTCCGGTTTTTCCGCAATCGGACAAAAATCTGCATTGAGAATTCTGCAATGCATTTTAATAGGCCCATGCATTTTAATAGGACTTCAGCTCTTTCAGACATTTCTACAGTTTCAATGATTCAACAGTTTCAAGGATTCAACAGTTTCAAGGATTTCAGCAGTTTCAAGATTTCAAGAGTTTCAAGGACTTCAACAGTTTCAAGGACTTCAGCAGTTTCAAGGACTTCAGCAGTTTCAAGGACTTCAGCAGTTTCAAGGACTTCAGTGTAATCATGCAACCTAATAGGGATTTTTCCATGTAAACCAGTATAATGCAACTTAATAGGGATTTTTCCATGTAAACCAGTATAATGCAACTTAATAGGGTTTTTTCATGTAAACCAGTATAATGCAACTTAATAGGGTTTTTTTTCATGTAAACCAGTATAATGCAACTTAATGGGGATTTTTCCATGTAAACCAGTATAATGCAACTTAATAGGGGTTTTTACATGTAAACCAGTATAATGCAACTTAATAGGGTTTTTTCCATGTAAACCAGTATAATGCAACTTAATAGGGTTTTTTCCATGTAAACCAGTACAATGCAACTTAATAGGGATTTTTCCATGTAAACCAGTATAATGCAACTTAATGGGGATTTTTCCATGTAAACCAGTATAATGCAACTTAATAGGGATTTTTCCATGTAAACCAGTATAATGCAACTTAATAGGGATTTTTCCATGTAAACCAGTATAATGCAACTTAATAGGGATTTTTCCATGTAAACCAGTATAATGCAACTTAATGGGGATTTTTCCATGTAAACCAGTATTATGATGCAACTTAATAGGGATTTTTTCATGTAAAACCAGTATAATGCAACTTAATAGGGATTTTTCCATGTAAACCAGTATAATGCAACTTAATAGGGTTTTTTTTTTACATGTAAACCAGTAAAATGGGTTTTTTCCATGTAAAACCAGTATAATGGAACTTAATAGGGGTTTTTACATGTAAAACCAGTATAATGCAACTTAATAGGGATTTTTAACATGTAAACCATATAATTTAAACCTAATAGGGGTTTTTTACATGTAAACCAGTACAATGCAACTTAATAGGATTTTTATTTCATGTAAACCAATATAATGCAACTTAATAGGGTTTTTTTCAATGTAAAAACCAGTATAATGCAACTTCCATAGGGATTTTTCCAATGTAAACCAGTAATTATGCAACTTAATAGGGATTTTTCCATGTAAACCAGTATAATGCAACTTAATAGGGATTTTTTCATGTAAACCAGTATAATGCAACTTAATAGGGATTTTTCCATGTAAACCAGTATAATGCAACTTAATAGGGTTTTTACATGTAAACCAGTATAATGCAACTTAATAGGGTTTTTTCCATGTAAACCAGTATAATGCAACTTAATAGGGATTTTTCCATGTAAACCAGTATAATGCAACTTAATAGGGATTTTTCCATGTAAACCAAGTTATAATGCAACTTAATAGGGATTTTTCCATGTAAACCAGTACAATGCAACTTAATAGGGGTTTTTTCATGTAAACCAGTATAATGCAACTTAATAGGGATTTTTCCATGTAAACCAGTATAATGCAACTTAATAGGGATTTTTACATGTAAACCAGTATAATGCAACTTAATAGGGATTTTTTCATGTAAACCAGTATAATGCAACTTAATAGGGATTTTTCCATGTAAACCAGTATAATGCAACTTAATAGGGATTTTTCCATGTAAACCAGTATAATGCAACTTAATAGGGTTTTTTTCATGTAAACCAGTATAATGCAACTTAATAGGATTTTTACATGTAAACCACTATAATGTAACGTAATAGGGGTTTTTACATGTAGACCAGTTTAAAGCAACTTAATAGGGATTTGTACATGTAAACCAGTATAATGCAACCTAATAGGGATTTTTCCATGTAAACCAGTATAATGCAACTTAATAGAGATTTTTCCATGTAAACCAGTATAATGCAACTTAATAGGGATTTTTACATGTAAACCAGTATAATGCAACCTAATAGGGATTTTTCCATGTAAACCAGTATAATGCAACCTAATAGGGATTTTTCCATGTAAACCAGTATAATGCAACCTAATAGGTTGCATTATACCACCAGACCAACTCCTGAATAATGACATGTAATAATGACATGTATAATGACATGTAAAGCGTCTTTGAGTCTCCAAAAAAGCGCTATATAAAACCGATGCATTATTATTATCATTATTATTATTAGCCTTTTTGGCTGTTTTTCAGTTTTAGTGACCAGTTTTATCCCCTATTAAAGTGATTCAATGTAAACCTTATAAATACTTTATTTTAATGATTCAGGTGAAAAACTGATTCTTTGGGGACATTTCTCAGAATTTCATTTCTAGTAGTTTGGGTTAAATGTTTTGTAACTTCTCACTTCAAACTATGCTTTTGAAGAATTTATTTCTGTGGTCTTGTTCTATCAGACAGGACAGCAGAGTGTGAGGTCGGGAGGAAATCAGGCTGGTACTCCACCACGCCCTTTAAAGTGACTTGATATGCAAAAACGTACTTTCAGGAGGTTAAATTTGTATTTATTATTTCCTTTTATTTATTTATTTTGGACAGGGAGTGCTCAATGAGAGCTCCAGACTATCTTATTCATAGGCACTCTGTTAGTTATTTTGGGCACGGAATATAAAGAATTGTACATGATTTTAGTAGTATAGGAAAACTGAGTACCTACGTATGCATGCAGACAACAGGATCTTCTTACTGTGAAGCACAAGCGCTAACCGCTGCGCCACTGTGTCGCCCTTATACCAGTACATGTCAAATAAGGTTTAATAATTAAATTAACCCATTAGTGACCAAATTCTTTTCAGAGTGTTAATGCATATAATGTTATTACTTGTGTGCCCTAGAATCAGGAAATGTATTTTTTTCTTTCAATTTTGGACCTTGCCTTGAAGAAAATAACGTTTTTAGGGCTGGCAACTATAGTTGCCGGTGGGCAAATAGCTTGTCAATAGGTCATAATAGATATTCTAACTGGATATAATCAACCCAGAAAGGTTGTGATCAGCCAAACTGATTGTGATTGATTCCTCCTTTTAAAAATCTAAAACAACAACAACTTGAACGGTTTCTTTATTCTAAAATACAAAACAAATGTTTTCAAAAAGGGAAATTTCCAATTGGCAATCCAAAAAACCGGCAAAAAAAGGGCATTAGCCTACAAGGAGATTGGAAATTGTGTCTCAGATCATATGGCCCTGACCTGTGGAGTACCACAGGGGTCGATCCTGGGACCTCTTCTGTTCAATCTCTACATGCTGCCGTTAGGTCAGTTAATACGCAGAAACGAAGTTTCCTATCATAACTATGCAGACGATACTCAGATCTATGTCTCACTGACTGCCGGAGAACATGGACCAGTGGACTCACTCCTTCACTGTATCCAACAGATCAGTGAGTGGATGCAAAACAACTTCCTTCAGCTAAACGCAGACAAAACTGAAATGATTGTCTTTGGTCCCCAGAAACAAAGAGAGAGCGTCATCTGTCACCTACAGTCTCTCTCCCTAAAACCTTCAAACAAGGTCAGAA